ACCCATACCTCATCGTACATAACCTACATCATCCGTACATCACCGTACATCACATGGAAATCACCCGTAAATCACCCGTACATCACCCGTACATCACTCGTACATCGCTGAACCCACATAATGAATTATATAATGTATCGATATTTATGGTATACTTACATCATTGTATACGCTTCTGTGACTCCTCGTAGATTGCCGACTTGAGGCACTTCGTGGTGCAGCTGTTGACACGAATAATCAAATAGATGTAACTAGTTTTGGATGCAATTTCCCCCTCTTTTTTCAATTTCTGTTAATGTGTTGCGAAAAGCTTTTCTTATCAGACTTACTTAGTAATATTTGTCCAATGATTACAAATGTATCGAATTTGAAACTATTCTCTTCTGCTACATTATCCAGTTTGAAGTTTTATGGCAAAATATAGACAAATTAGGAAAAAGCAATGCCAGTCATTTAACAAACAAAAACATTACTATAGATCAGATTGGCTGGGTTTATCGACCTATCAACTACCAGTGTCATTTTGTCTGTTGAAATACAAATCAATCAATACAAACTTAAATATGGAGATTCTCAAAGACTTCATTTCTTGCTAAAGTATTTTTATATCATATATTAGGATATCTTCATATCTTTAGCATCATCATTATATTTAATAATACATTTTATTATTTTGAACATGTTATATCTGATACACATTTAGATAACATTAGCCTCCATGTGTAGAGTGAGTAAAGTAAGTCAGAATATGAAATATCCACTCCAACTCAGTCCTAAGTAAGACAGCGGTATATAGGCTTTCGTTGTATTAACTATAATAATTGAAAACCCACTGTAAACATTTGTCTTGGTAGCTGATTATTAATTTATGGAATTCTAGCCACAAAACGTCCAGAGACATTTAAATCTAAGAATCATTCTCTTTATTTCGTTATTGTTTTCGATGTTGTATTCTCAAAATCATCATAGGATAACATAACAATGTACATTGTTTAAATAAATAGCGATATTAATAACGCAAGTAAGCTTTTTGCTCATGACATTGCTCTTAAAGGGACGAACTGCTCAGATTTTCATAATTAATTAAAAGCATTTTTACATTTCAATATACGTTAAACGGTGTGTACTTTCTATTAGTCATAATAAGTTTGCACGAACAAAAGAAAAATAGGAGCGACCCCAACACAAATTCTCATGATAATCGTTCTGAGAACGTAATTACGGTGTTTGCGCATCATCATCAGCGACGTGTTAAAATGAGGTTCCGAAAGGTCACATGATGAACCCTGACTTACCTAGACGGGGAGTTGTTTCATCTAGTCTGTCAGCAGCAACAGTATACCTGACTTACCTAGACGGGGAGTTGTTTCATCCAGCCTGTCACAAACAACGGTATATTTTCCTGTTTTTAGCAGTTGAACCCTGACTTACCTAGACGGGGAGTTGTTTCATCTAGCCTGTCAGCAGCAACGGTATACCTGACTTACCTAGACGGGGAGTTGTTTCATCCAGCCTGTCAGCAACAACACTATATCCTTCTGCCTTCAGTGCCGTTCTGAAAACTTTGTACGCTTTTGGTTCCGGGGATGTCACCAATATGTGAATAAAACCGTTGAATTGTTTATGAGGTGCCAACTCTGCTTCGATTCTATTCCTGTCACTTAGATCAAAAATACCACCTTCTATCATTCTGTCGATGATAGGATCAAGATGGGATAACGTTCTTTTCATGTACACAATATTTTGTGTAATTTTGCTTTTGTTCACAGGATCCATCTTTACCAGTTCAGAAGTACCCGTCCACTGCTCTTAAATATTCTATGGTGTAAGCCATATATAAGATTATACGTTGATTCTACCAACATTTCAAAACCTTCTTTATAACAATACGTTGTACATGTAACTAGGTAATTATTCTCTTGTCATTGTTATATATTTAGACTTATGGTAAGTAAACTGTGTATACTACACACAGTCATTAGAGGACAATATCCCTTTATCTCCAACGCTGCACGTTGAGAACCACTCATAAGTGTTTCCAAATAGTATCATTGTTGGTTTTAGAGAATTTTCCAGTGATCGTTGTAAATCTCCCAAGTTCATACCTTGTCTTCCTTTTACATCTATATTATGTTTGAATTAAGGTTCCGTAGACCCGTCAGTATTCCCTTGTTGTAAAGGACATGTATTCCTGTAAGTAGTCATGGGTTTGTGAACGTGTTGGTGGTCATTAACAGTTTGTGCCAGTAATTAGTAGAAGACTAAAATACTCATCATGCCTATTGAACCTTTTGTCACTGATTACTTTGTGTGTCAGTTGAAATGAATGTAATTACGGGCTTATCATCGGTCTGCTTTAGTAACTGTTACATGGACTCAATTAGTCATGAAATTTTCACCAATTGTACTTTTATAAAATGTTAAAAAAGTCATTATGTTTCATTGTATTTCGTCAATAGTCTACCTGTAAAAGTAGACCAAAGCTTACAAATCGTTATGCAATTGGGTGTGTTGTCATTGCATTGTGATCTCTTTTGAATTTACATTTTAAGTCGACTAACCAATACGGATATTGCGGGAGCGAGCCGACATCTAAAATAGCATTAAGCGTCATCAATCTATTAATACATTGCTGACCTGCCAGAGTCTGCTGTTCTTTGCTCCAAGGAATCGACCAAAAACTGCCCAGATTTGAGTAAATACGAGAGTCACGTTAGTGTAAGTGGAAACCCGTTTCGGATATTGATATAAACGATTTATTATATAACAACTAAAATGTGTAATGATTGTATCTTTCAATTTTATTTTCAGATTTATTGGTGACTAGTCTTTAAATCACAGGCAATTTATTAACCTTGTCCATCGCATATATTCACCATAATTGACTATCAAAGACATACTGGCACACGCCCTTCTTTGAGTTGTGGACAAGGGGGTAATATTGAAAGGTGCAAGCGACGGTACACTGAATATACCTCTGATGACGGAGCTTGTATCGAGTGATCATTGGAATAGGTCTCCGTCTTACTTCGGAATAGGTCTCTGTCTTACTTCGGAATAGGTCTCCGTCTTACTTCGGAATAGGTCTCCGTCTTACTTTGGAATAGGTCTCCGTCTTACTTCGGAATAGGTCTCTGTCTTACTTTGGAATAGGTCTCCGTCTTACTTCAGAATAGGTCTCTGTCTTACTTTGGAATAGGTCTCCGTCTTACTTCGGAATAGGTCTCCGTCTTACTTCGGAATAGGTCTCCGTCTTACTTCGGAATAGGTCTCTGTCTTACTTTGGAATAGGTCTCCGTCTTACTTCGGAATAGCTCTCCGTCTTACTTCGATAATGATATGAGTGAGACAGGAATCAGCTGTTCATGATCGCGTATTTATTGATTGATTTATCATTTGATCGTTGCACTGACTTAGATATAGATCTTAGACCATGATCACTGTCATAATGGCTTGCCGTTTTAATTTCTTGCTATAGTATTAACAATCACATAGTGAATGTCGACCGTGTGAGGGAGAAGTTATTTTCAGTATTTATGTATCTATTTATATCGTACTAGCAACATTGTAGTTCGAACCATATTTTTGATGTGTAATTAACGACATGAAACAAACATCGATACGAATCATTAATTATTTAGATATGGATTTATTTCGGTGATCACGTGATGATGTGGAGTTGTCATAGTACCGTTTCCCGTACTTTCAAATATTGCTTCGTTACCTTAAGCTCAGATTTAAGTCCGTACCTGGTACAAATGATGGTTTCAAATTCACTATGGTGAGTTTCCGAATTCTAGTAACCAGCTTCCGTGCCAGCCTAGGGTGTGACTGTTGTTTCGATCCTCAAAGGACAGACAAACGGGTTGTCGGTTGATGAGGACTATAAGGGAAGTTTATGGCCGTCGGACTGGTCACACGTGGACTTTTTCCCCTTGTGCGATATGGCGTTACATTTGTTTGGAGTTCATTAGTACACCTGTTTTGTAACTTTAAACCTTGTCCTCACTTTAGAACTCCATGTTAATTACTTGGACTGGGTATTTCTGACCACCTTATCACTAGCCCTCCATCTCTGGGTCGCGGGTTCGAGGCCTAATGGGGCAGTTACCAGATAATGTCCGCAGGTCAGTAGGTTTTCTCCGGGAACTCCGGCTTTCCTCCACCACACGCCTGTCACGTCCTTAAATGACCCTGGCTGTTAATAGGATGTAAAGCAATAATACACTAAAACTTGGATTGACGGGATTTACAAGACGCTTCGCATTCGGAACACTTTGGTCCTGTTCTCCTTCTGAATGATATCCAATTGAATTTAGTTTATATTTCTTCTTTGTTTTACCGATTTTTCTAACATGTCGGCATATCACCATTTGTTTTGTCTCATTTTATCATTTTCTCACTATACGAGGCGTCAATAACACCACTTTGTTGTGTTAATATTTCAATGTGAAATACGCAGTATTGTGACAATATTTCGGATTTCACAATACTTTTAGCAGAAAAAAAGCAGCTAAAACATCTTGCACAATACAGTAGATTGTTTACCCATACCGGAAACTGTAACTGAAGGAATAAAATCAGATAGTCTTTGAACACAGTGTTTTGTCGAAGGAAAGTTCAGAATTCTGAAATATTTAATTTATGAAGGAAAAAACACAAATTAGTGTCAAACTTCAGATTTATGTTGATACAGATATTTACTTTACCTATCTTAATCAGTTTTGAGTGTTGGTAAAGCAAACATGGTACATTTACTGTATATCACATGGATGTTACGACCCAAGTTCAGATCTTAGACCGATCAAAATGTTTGAATATGTTGATCAACGGAACCGGTTAAAGTTAATTGGTATAAGCATCTGTTCAACTGATGACGTTCATAGATTGAATCTACCTTGTCTTCGTCAGAAGCCTGAAACTACATCTAACTGATTCGTCCATGACACAACCAATATTCTTTTCTGTATCAATGGCTTATATTCATCTCAAGTATGCTCCTACGTTTGATATTCTATCGCTTTATCAAGAACGTTTCCGAGCGTACTAAATTTGACTAAGCGGATGTCAGCCGGCGTATTGCCATTAATGAATTTGGTTAAAAAGTCCACATAGACAATGGCAAGACGTAGCGTCTCTATCCGTGACAGACGTTTCTCGTACGTAAATGTCGGGAGAACTCTCCTCAGCGAATTAAATGCCTCGTTCAGATTTTGCATTCTGCGTCGTTCTCTGATGTTAGCTTTCTTCCTCTGGTCTGAGTGAACAACGCCATTAGATGTTCGTGGCTGTCTGCCGTTTTCACTTTGTATACGTCCTCGAGTGTCCGAGTTATCTCCCTTCTCACGATCACTGAACAGAATGGTTTGTTCGGTGAAATACTGTTGTTCTGGGTTATCAAAACTCCGGACATTAGTTAATGGGTATAGATCTTCAAGATGGACGAAAGAACAGCTGGACACTGGACACAGACTGACCGCTCTTGGTGTTCCAACGGAGCTACATTCGGACAAGTTCTGAAATCTCATTCTCTCACGCTGTTGCTCCAAGGTATCTGTCAGAAATCAGTTAACAGTATTAAAGAAAGTATATAACCACAGTGACACTTTCATATGTAGGGGTGTAGGCCAGAGCTATTTCACTCTCGATGTCACAAAATGTCGTAAAACTCGAGGCTTTGTCGAGTGTTCTACCCCATTTTGTGACCTCAAGGTTGAAATATCCCATCCTTACCTCGGCATATGCAAGATATTTTTTCTCTCATTTCTCATTCTAAGGTATTAGGAAAAGTTAGTTTCATACATATTATAACATTTTATAGTAATGGTATTTAATCGACAAATTTGCTTTGTAAATTAATTCTCCGTACCCAGACTTGGCAAACAAAGTTTCACACAGAAAATTCAAACAAAATATTGGAAGTGTAATACAAGAACAGCGAGCCTGGAAGTGTAATACAAGAACAGCGAGCCTTGGTGTGTTTCCCTGGACAGACGAATAATACACAGATAGAAATGAGAGAAAGCGGTATTTTGTATCAAAATAAATCATTTATCATAAACTTGACAGGGTATACTATGCCATGTTGGTTTAACCCCAGCCACTTCAACCCCAGCCACTTTGACATAAGATTGAGTATAAACTTGACTGGGTACGCCGTGCCATGTTGGTCTAACTCCAGCCACTTTGACAAAAGATTGAGTATAAACTTGACTGGGTACACCACGCCATGTTGGTCTCACTCCAGCCGCTTTGACATAAGACTGAGTATAAACTTGACTGGGTACACCAAGCCATGTTGGTTTAACCCCAGCCACTTCAACCCCAGCCACTTTGACATAAGATTGAGAATAAACTTGACTGGGTACACCACGCCATGTTGGTTTAACCCCAGCCACTTCAACCCCAGCCACTTTGACATAAGATTGAGTATAAACTTGACTGGGTACACCAAGCCATGTTGGTTTAACCCCAGCCACTTCAACCCCAGCCACTTTGACGTAAGATTGAGAATAAACTTGACTGGGTACACCACGTCATGTTGGTTTAACTCCAGCCACTTTGACATAAGATAGAGTATAAACTTTAGTGGGTACACCACGCCATGTTGGTTTAACCCCGGTCACTTTGACATAACATTGAGTATAAAGTTGTTGTTAAGTAGACCGATGACCGATATATGATCCATATATTCCAAGGTTTCACTTAATATAAATGTCGAATGTTCAATCCTAGTTGGTGATGTCACAAACAACAACGGTCGAGACGTACTGGAGAGCATTGAGCACACCTGATGCCTATGCCTCCAGGAACTACATGTACACATTTCCCAACGAGACCATACAAGTCTTCGTGGACCTGCATCTCTCGAGACATGTGATTTGTGTATATCTGTCAGCTGTCGACAAATTTCACAGATATCGCCACACTGGGGAAAAGCTCTAGAATATTGAAGTTTGAACACTTCAACTCACAAGGTTGTTCCTGTCGTTGGTCCCATGACCGTGACAGTTCCCTGTTTTAGTTGTGTAAGTAAAACCGTGTCAGTAAATTACTATTTGTTTGTTTAAACACCATTAGAATCTACTCAACAGTTTCAAACACCAAATTAAATACACGTAAATGACGGAAATGATAATATCAAAATTTTGTTTGTATGTGTTTCTAAAGTTATTACTTACCGGCGTGTTACATTGAAGTAAGACTTCAGTACTGTCCGGTCTGTTTTCTATATTTCCCTGACATAGCACCTGTCATTTATAATCTCTACACAATAGGAAGGAAAAACCTTCTTCTGAACATCACATCCAACGTTGTAACACTAACACATTGGTAACACTCGATGTTTTTCACTTGCCTATCAACAATTTGTGATATCAACCGCTTTTCTTCAGTCCTGATCCAAATTAACACAAATGATATTGAAAGGGGGCCGCACCCCTTTAACAGCGATTTAATATGTTTATGCATTTACATTGTGTATACTCATTCGACAGAACCAATATTAGATGTAAGTCTGCCATCTTTCTTCAAAATTCTACATTACTTTCAGTAAATGATAAGATCAGAATTTCATTAAATGTGTGGAGTTTTGTGAAAACGGTCGTTTTAGTAATAACGTTTGATTTAGGAGTTTCTAATATAAAACACGGAAACGTTAATATCAGGAATTAGCATCGATATTAAAACAGAAATACTACAGGGCCCGTCCTAATTGATTTGAAAATAGACAGAACTATTGATTCGTTGCTTTAATTAACTCATTACTTCTACCATTGTACGTCACTAGACCAATATGTCTGACATCTGACTGCTTCGTTCAAGAAAACGTCACACCAAATCAAAGCAATCCTCCGATTTTATTTTCTAATGATAAAACAAAAGCTTGTCTATGATAGTAGAACTTCATTAATTCCTCAATCCTGACAAACAACACAGAAATTCGGTTCTGTATATTCCGAGGAATCTGTCTGATTCTATTTGAAGTTGCTATGACTTAATAAGCTTCCAACGTTGAGACTGTAATTTCGGATTTCTGAGTTTGATCTGCATAATCAATATGAGACTAATTGGTGACCATGGCACTTCCTGCTTTGTTGGAAAACTTCAGGATGGTAAAACCGGTCAACTATGTGTATATTTATGTACATTTATTATGAAGTTTTAGATGCTTTTTACGTTTTCTGATTCGAAAGTATGTATACCTACATTCTCTCCATATTACACTTACGTTGCAAAGTCTCTAGATTAAGGTTACCAACCCCAATTTTGTAATTTTCTATAATTACGTATGTAAATCGGGCCTTTGCAATGGTTTGTGGTTTGTCGTTTTGTATTTGCTTGTATCCCCAATTTTCATTTAAACGTGGTTTAAATGATGCAATGTTATTATAAATATAAGTAAATAGTAAAACATTAATAAGGACGCGTTCTTGAAACTATTTTGTTGATGTTCGTGTTGTCAATGACGTTCAAGTTGGCGGGATCTTCTGGGTTTAAACTCGCCACAGTTCTAAAGATGTGCAAATTGTAAAATCGGGTTTTAATATCTTATGAAAATCTGGGTTATTCAAATGTAAATGTAAGATTATTTTTTTTCCTGCATTGAAGACTTTTTTTTTTAAATCCTCAAAAATAACAGAATGTACACAGTATTGAATTAAAAAAACCCATCTCAGCTAATTAGCAGTGTGATCTGTGGACTAATTATATTCTAACTACCTCACACAATTGTCAACAGGTGTTGGAACAATCTTTGTTGTTGTCCTACGGCAGTTTTCTAAAATTATTTGAAATCAATGTTTTACTGTAATAAAACAGTATGACAGTTATTATATTGATATAAGACTACCAGACTTTTTATACTTGTGTAATATTTTGTGATAGTAAACTTTCTTTAATCAGATTGTTAAACACTATAATACGTGGAAATTATTATGCTAATACCGGTTAAGTACATTGTATTATAATCTCATGTGATAATCCCTCCAGGAGGAAGTTGGTACGTGACTACGACCTTTGTGACCTGTAAATTGGCCCGCATCACTCATCCTTGAAATGGGTTGTTTTGTAAAGCTTCGCTAACGGGTATCTTGTCATGTAATATAACTTTGATAGACAGAGGTGTCCCTCAAGATAATGGCGGTGTCACATTAATCAGGAAAGTTAAGTAAAGCTATCCTATTTAATAGGATAAGTTAATGCATCTTTTTGTCAATATATTATATTATTTAAATTATCTACGACTTTGTTCAGTTGTTATTTGAATCTGATTTATTACAAAAAGACAGGTAGGTTGACTTGTTTTACTGTAGGGTTATACTTTCATGTTAGCAACCAACTGCTTCAGAGACTTGTACTCTCCCTACCAGTCACGTGGAGGGACAGTGTGGTTAACGTCAAATTACGTCAGAAATACGGCCAATGACAGAGCAGTCACGCGACAACCAGTAACTGATAAATGACAACACACGCGACAACCGCAATACGCAGCCGTGGACACGTGACGCACATTCACGTGACCTTCGGATGATGTGACGCCATTGATATTTTTTCTGGTAATCGTTGCTAATTTCATTTCCTGTTGTAGCGTGACGCCTGCTTAGAGGAGGACATAAAGTACCGCGGACAGATATCGAATTTCAAGATGTATGCTGATCGTCGAAATCAATGCGTGTTCTGTCAGATCAACACCAATTATTTCTTCTTTTCACCATTTCGACGAAACGATTTTATGAGGGAATCTGTTGATAAGGAATGTCAGTCTTTATTCTGCTGCATATTCTTTTTCTGGTAGTAGCTATAAAGACTATACTATAGACACACAAGTGAATACCACCTTTCCATATCTATTCAGAATTAGGCACAATAAAACCAGGTATAGGCACAGTACTGAAATAGATCTCGTTTTCCAGCAGGTAACTTGCTTCGCTGCGTATAGTCATTCTACAGAATAAACAGATACACTTGCGGCCCTTTTATTGATTACATTCACCCGTTTATTGTTATAAGTTCAATAAAACAAATAAATCGTTTGAAAAACTGAAATTGCCTCGTTCCTATTTCGGTAACGCAAACAACAATGGCAGTTGATATGATTAGTACCAAACGAAAAAGAATCAGATCTCTGAAATTACTCTTAAACTGGAAATTTGGCTGACGATTTGAAGTCTATATACGTCTAATGGAACGGAAAGTCACCTGGAAGTGTATTGAATACGTGCCGACGGCGTCCTCACTCGATACCCGCCTTACTGGCCTGAATTTTAGTGTACATATGTAGCTATCAAGGACATCACCTTTCTACCAAGTCTGTTACATGCAAGTCGTGTTTCTTTGTTGATGATTCATTTGAGATCAGTTTGGTACCAAAGCTGTTAAAATTGAGCAGTATTTCTTAGAAATTTGAAAAAAATTTGACTTTTCTGAAGTTGGCGAATTTCTCTCTGATGTTGCTAGGTCCGTTTAACTAATTATAGTAGGCTTTACAAGCCTCCCTGCCCTAGAAACGCCATTACATTCACCTGTG